CAATTCCTTCCGCGTCAGACGCACTGTACAGACACACAAAATGCATATATATATATATATATGCATATATATGTATTATATATATAATATATGTGTCTATACATGCATATATATATAGAACAAATAAACGCACACAGAGAAGAGCAAAGCGAAGAAACAAACGAAGGGGGGAAAGAGGAAAGCCACAGAGAAATAAACAGCAGAGATAAGCAAACAAAGACAGACAAACAAACAAACTAAACAAAACAACTAAAAGGACCGAAGAAACACACAAACAAATAAACAAACGAACGCCCCTCATGTAGACACCGCAGAAAGAAATAAAACAAAAAACAGAAACAAACAAAGCCGGCTATAAACGAATGCAGATAGCGATAAAGAAGGACAAGCGAGAAGAGACAAAGACAATAACGGCTGAGAGATAGAAGCAGCAGCAGCAGCAGCATTAGCAGCAGCTCCTTACAGGTTTGTATTTCCTTTATTTGTGCTGCGGAGCCTGCTGATTGTCTGTTTAAGCTAGGAGTAGAAATAACAAACGCAGAGACAGAAGAATCTCCCCCTAAGGCCCAGATGATGCCTCGCGCTTCATCTGCCTCCAGCTGCAGCAACCCTTCTCGAGACCTGCTGTTGCTGCTGCTGCTGCTGCTGCTGCTGCTGTTGCTGTTGCTGGTGAGGCCGAGGGAGGCGCAGAGGGCCCTGAGCCCTCCTTTAATTCTGTCTGTTATTGTAGGGTTTAGGGGGACAATTTCGCAAACCACAAACCCCGCGGCCCCATCACAAACCCTAAACCCTAAACCCTTATTTTCAGTTCCACTTGGCGGCAGCACTGCGCGCAGTGCTGCGGCTTCTCCCTCCTCTTCTGCTGCTGCTGCTGTTGTTGTTGTTGTTGCTGCTGCTGCGGTGTCTGCGGGCTCGCTTCTCCTGGCTTTCTTGCTGAGGAGAAAGGAAAGGCCGAGGGGCCCCCTGAGGGGGCCCCCCTCTCGTTCTGGTAAGGGTTTGACATCTAAATAATAAATCTGCTGCGATTCAAAGGAAGCAAACAAAACCAATCCACTTCCTTTATGTGCAGCAGCAAGAGACAGCGTTGCAGCACCTGCGGGTTTCTCTGCAGCACCGATTTCAGCGTATTCACAAGCAGAGAGGGAGGGGGGGGCCCTGGGGGCCCCCAGCTGCTGCTGCGCTGCTGCAGCACCAGAGGCCGCAGAGACAGCAAATAAACGAACAGAATTAGAAGTAGAAATTGCGAGGCAGTGGAGAGGTGAGGAGGCAATGTCAGCGAAGGGTGGGGTGTCTGTACACCCTGAGAGATCAAGATGTGCTGCAACAGAAGAAGATGAAAGAGAAGCATTATTCCAGCAAAAAGAATTTCTTAATGCAGGAGGAAGCAACGCCCTATCCAGCTGTACGTACACTGCACTCTCAACATATTCTGAAAAAGATAAAACTTCTACGGCTTCCTCAGCAGCACCCAACTCCCACAAATATAAATTGAAGCCCTCAGCCACCCAAAGCCGATTCAACTCCGGAATCAAACCGTAAGGAGGCAGCGAACGACAGCAGCAAACCCCGCTCCCTCTCCCGCTGCTGCTGCTGCTGCTGCTTGTGCTGCTGATGGTACTGCTGCTGCTGCTGCTGCTGCTGCTGCTGGGTGCTTCTGCAGCGCCGCAGCGACACAGAAGGCGGGAGAGGAATGGAGGCAAGGGAATTGATTCATTTAGACTTGTGAGGGTAAATGCATTTCGATTTTCTTCGTAAACAGCTTTAAAGAGAGGGGCCCCCATTCTGAACCCCCAGGGGGCCCCCAGGAAGGGGGCCCTCCCCGGGCTATCTATTTGTACATTCTGCTCTTCTAAAGATATACCACTCCACAGCAGCCGCACTGCAGCACCTGCAAACTGAGAAGAAGGGCCCTCGCAGCAAAACGCTTGCCTTTTATTTTCTGCTGTAGATACACCCAAATAACCGTCGCTGTTGACGTCCAGACCCATCACCGAACCACGGCGAGGGGCCCCCCTGGAGGCCCCCCCTCCCATGTAAAAAGAAGAAGCAAAGAGAGATCTCCGCTGCTGCTGCTGCTCTTCTTGCTGCTGCTGCTGCTGCTGCTGCTGCTGCTGCTGTTGCTGGTGATGGTGATGGTGATGCGGCTGCTGGTGAATGTAGGGGAAGAAACCCAAGTTAGATTGACTGACAGAGGCGCTACGACCACCGGCGTGGCCGCTGAGGGGCCCCCCATCACCAGGTGGAGGGGGGCCCACTAAGGTAGAAGACCCGACATTCCGAGGGCCCCCTATGGTGGGGGGCCCCCCATTTTGAAAGAAGTCTGTCCCCGCAGGGGACGCAAATGTGCTCATTGAGCCGTGTTGAGGGGCCCCTGGGGGCCCTCAAGATATTTAGCTTCTGATTAAAGCCTTTGCGTTTCTCTCTTTGTCTTTCTATTAACGATGGCTGGGGGGTTGTTGGGGTGCTTTGAGCCCCCAAAGAGCCGCCCACAGCCACCTACCTGCCGGCAGGCAAGCGCAATTGTATGAAAGGCCGCATACAAAATGAAAAGAAGTGAAGACGCTCAGGGGCTTAATGACTCGGGACAAGGGGGGGGTGTTCAGGTGTACGTACAGCTGGGGGCTGTGCACATTCAAGGGATTCGTTGAAACCGGCGTTAAAAAGAAATATTTAATGTTCTTTTGAAGCGGAAAGCAAAGGAAATTGAATCTTATATTTTAAATTAAAGAATATTTGGGGCTGGCTGCGGGTCGGCGGCGCATGCAATCAAAGCGTCGCATGCAGCAGCAGCGCCTTCATCTTCTTTATTGAATATAACATCGATATTATCAGCTTGTTAATTGTAAAAGAATATTATTCCAATGGGTTTAAATGCATAAAATAAGTATAAAATTATTAAAACAAACAATACTTATGAACAGGGCCCAGGAGCCCTTAATAATTCCCAGGTGTCTGTACACCCGAAAATGTTATGGTGAAACGCCGAATAAAATTAGCGGCATTTTCAAGAAAGGAAAAGTACAGAAGAGGGTCAATTTCCCTCCCCTACTTCTTGTGTGTTCTAGGTGCTTATATATATATATATATATATTATATGTATATATAATGTACATATACACAATATATTGGCTTTATCTTTCTGCTGCCTGTAGATTATGTTAATTTGAAAGACAGCTACTGCCCTCTTTATTTGCTGCCGCTGCTGTTTCTTTTGTGCTGCTGCTGCTACTCGTGCTGCGGCAGTTTGTGTGTCTGCTGCTGCTGCTGCTGCTGCCGAAGAGAAAAAAAGGCGAAATTCCCCCTAATTTGACTTGCTGTCGTTTGCTGAGCCCTTATACCCCACAATGTATGGCGTCTGCATGCACTTGCATTCATTTGCATGCACCCACTTACATTTAGGAGAGTGTTTTTGTTTAAGTGTAGTTACAGCATCCCCCTTAAACAGATTTCGTGCGTCCTTCCACCCTTTGGGGTGTATATATTATAATGCTTTTTGTTGTTTAAACAGGAGAGAACAATGTTAATAAGCTTGTTTTTCTGTCATGCATCAATATCTGCAACATCACCGAAGACAGCCTGCAGACAGTCTCGCGTAAGTTCTTCGATGGCTTCATCTCTGAACCTCCAGAAAGAAACGCTCTTCTCTAACAGACGCATGCTGCAGCGGTGGCTATCACTGCTGCTGCTGCTGCTGCTGCTGCTGCTGCTGGTGCCTACTCCGTGTTTCTGCAAGATCGGTCTCTGCACCTCTGGGAGATATTTTCTGCAGCGGATGATCACTCGTTTATAGTCGAAGTCCGCTAAACTCCGCAGTTCTCTCAACTTTGACGCCACGGGCTCAGACTGTACGTACATACACCCAAATACACCCCAACAGCGTGTAGGTTGTGTGCGATATATTATATATATATATACCACATGCACAAATGTATGTGTACATACATATGTATATATATATATATATATATACATATATATATATATATATATAAACGCAGAAAATATGTAGAGGCCATCATCTGCTTGGACAACGATTACACTGTAGGGCCCAATGGCCTGCAAGCGTTGATCATATTCATACATCTACATATATATATATATATATATACATATATATATATATATATGTATATATAAAGCGTATATACTAACAGATACATATATATATATATGTGGGGGATTGTTTTGCCTTACAGTGTAAGCATCGAGGAAGTCGATGAGGATATTTCGCGTCTTCTCCAGACTGAGGGGCGGCCCCTCCGCTTTATTTTCTTTTCCTTTTCTCTTTGGCGTTGCAAACAACAGCAAAACACAACTCTTGCATTTGCATGCAGCGGCAGGAAGCTGATGAATTATTTACTTAATTACTGTTTCGGGTGTATGTGCACCCCGCTGTATTACTGGGCGTGTGCTTTTCTTTTTATGAAGCGTGTGGCGAGTATTTAATTAAATTAAATTACTTGATTGTTTATAAGCAATATGTTTATATGCATAAACATGCATTGATGGTGTGTGCAGTGGTGGGGTGTATGTACAGTTTCTGCTTCTGGGGTTGTTGCCTGATCGCTGATATCTTCGTCTTCATAAATAAATCTTTTAGGGTTTCTTTGTTTTATTTTTTCGTTGAATGTGTGTTCTGTTGCTTTGCTCGGAGGCAGCCTGAATTCTTCTGCATGTTCATCGTCTGCATGCAGCAGGTGAGACTGCAGTTGGGGCTTATCTTCTTCGTATTTTTCTGACTCTTTATCTGCTGCTATGTTTAAGTTGTCTGTTTCTTTTGATGTATTTCTCCCTTGAGAGAACAAACAGCCGCTGATGCCTCTGTGCAGAGTTCTTTTAGCTTCGATTTCGTTCTTATTTACAACACTTCGCAGCTCTTGCAGCCCCAACCGCGCTGCATGCACTCCTTCATTCGTAGAATAAGGGCTCTTTAAAATAAACATAAAGTCATCCTTAGCGCTCTTCGTCATACCCAACAACAAATACGCCTTGCCTCGCCTATACCGCGCTTTGGAGTCATGCTCATCGATCTCCTGAATAACAGTTGTGCACGCCCCTACAAACAAAACAAGAAAAGAAACAGATATTAACAAACTACTAACTCTTTTCACGCTTTCGTTTGCTCTTCTTCATCCATTCAACAAACTAATCAAGCATAACAACTCCATTCGGGGGATAGAAACAGAAAAAGGCAGCACAGCCATAGGAATAAGCAGATGCAGCGTCTTGCTGTTGTTTGCTGTTGCTGCAGCAACAGCAGCAAGACGCTGCAGCAGCAGCAAGCCGTTGCATCAGTAGCAACAGCAACAGGTGCAGCAGCAACGGAAGCAACAGCACCACTAGGGAACAAATCAGAAATGATAGCTGCAGAAGCAGCAACAGCAGCAGCGTAGAGCACACCAGCAACAACAGCAATTGCAGCAGCAACAGCAGTAACAGCAGCAACGGCAACAACAGCAGCAACAGCAGTAACAGCAGCAGCAACAGCAGCAACGACAATAACAGCAGCAACAGCAATCTAACGTATGGCTTCTTGATATTTTCCGAGTTGTATGGCGGCCTGTGCAGCATTTTTAAGAAAGAGTGAAAATGCTTCATCAATTCTTTTTTGTTGATTTTCTTTGTCCCTCGCCTCCACCCAATTAAGCAATTCAATACCCTGTTTAAATCTCATAAACGCTGTCTCGTAGTCTCCAGCAGCATACGCCTGACGCCCTTCAAGAGACAGACGATCTCCGAATGAAAGATGCTCCTCGAGCGCTCCTCCTTCTAGCGGGCGCTTCCCCTTTGATATGCCTGGCAGCAGTAGCAATAGAAACAACAGCAGCAGCAATAGCAACAGCAGCAATAGCAACAGCAGCAACAGCAGCAGGAAACGCAGCAATAAGTGCACATGAAACTTTTTGCAGACAGCTCAGTGTACGCAGAACAGAAAGCAGAAAAAAATGGATAGGGCAGCAGCCGCTCTCTCTGCCTATGAAATTTGCTGTTGCCGACGATAGAAACAGAAAATAATGCAAATAGCAGCACGTGCAGCAGCAGCAACAAGAGCAGCTGCAGCAAGTGCATCACGATTAGCAACGGCAGACCAGGGACAACAGCAACAACAGCAGAATCAGCAAAAGGTAGGAGCAGCAGCATCAGAAGTGCAGCAATGCCTTACCGGGTATCCATTCATCTCTAGGGCAGATCTCTCCCTTAGACATTCTCTCCGCGAGTTCTGCTTGCGGAAGGTCCTTCCAAGTCCTTTGGTTTAAATACTCCATTTCTGCTGCATCCAACCCCCTTGTCGCTTCCTCGTGTAGCTGTTGCAGCTGCTGCTCCTGCAGGGCGACTGCGCACAACACCTCAAACGCAACTAAAGGGATGCAACTTGCAAGAGAAACAGAAAAGTTCTCAAGCTAAGTAGGGCAATAAACATGTTTAAATTGATGGAAAAAGAAGAATATGCAAATGGGTTTAAATAATATTCAAACTGCTAGAAAAAAACAAGAAAAGTGTAGGCAATCTTAGCTCAGGATATTTGTTGTTGCAAGTGCAAAGTAACCTTTGGCGTACACGCTTTGGGGTTTTGTTTGAATTCTTCTGCTTTCTCCCGAATGAGGGCATTTAGAGCTTCATCTGTTTGAATTTTTTCACTAAATAAACTCGGGTTTCTCTCCGCTTGAACCAAACAGTCATGCAAACGTTCCAAAATGCCGGGATATTTAAATATCGGTCGCAGGAGGTCCTGCTGTTCGGGTGTACAGGCACCTAAGGCGGTTTCAATTTCCGCAACTTTTGCAGCTTTCTGCGCCGCCATACGGGAAGCCTGAAGACGATCTCAGCAGAGAATGCAAGGAACATGGAGAAATAACCCATGAAATGTAAATAAATTAAAGCTTGCTTACTGATTTTTGTGTAATAAGCAGAGATAACTCAAAAATTACCGGGAAAAGTCACTCACCGTTTCCTTCTGTACATTTTTCTGCTCTTCACGCAACTGGCGTTGCTCCTTCGGACGACGCAGGAAATCCTGCCAATATGCCTCGCATTCGTGCATCGCCATTTTTAAATTAAGATAAATTGATTATTAAGTGAAATTATGCGTGTATTTTCGCTTAGTTATTCGTTTATTCGGTGCCTTCCTTCCCCCCCTTCGGCCGCAGACTGTCGGCTGCGCTTCCCTTCACCGCTTCCACGGAAGGCTACAGCGCTTCAGGCGACGGTAACTCGCATCATTCTCTTAAAAATAAAGATTCAAATATAATAACAACCTATAAATAAAAGCAGGGAAAGTCAATTTCAGAAGAAAACGGGGAATTTTGCGCTTGCACACTATACCAGCCCTGCAGCAGCTGCTGTAAAGTTAGGGGGGCAACGCAGCAATAATGATGCCCCTTCGGCTACCGTCTCGTACTTCAATACCTCAGAAAAGTAAACCTCTTTAATTCTAAAACAAAATTAATCAAATTAACTAATTAAATTCTAAAAATCTGCGTCAGAAACTTCCTTATTCCTCTTCTCCGCTAAAGCACGGATCGACGAGCACCAGCTGCTGCTCTACTCCTGCTCTACTCCTTGTGCTGCTCTCTTCAGCAGCAGACCGCCTTTCTGCACTCCTTCTCTCTTAATTACAAAACATTGAACAAACGAAGAGTAAACAAATGTTTTCAATGCCTTTAAACTAAAGAAAAATAAATATGCTCTGCTGCTGCTTCCAGTTAAGACAACATCAGCTAACCCCGCCAAAGACAGACAACAGCCAACAGCCACCGCCTCTTCTTCTATTTACTCGGCGTATTAATGTTGTTTGCTTAAACCAAACTTTAAATAAATAAATATATCTTTTATCTTAACATTAAAAAGCTTGTTTTTCCCCTTGTTTTTGTAATTATTGTACACGGGCTGCCCGAGGGGCCCCTCAGGTCATCGCTGCTATATAGGAATATAAAGAAGCCCTAAACCCTAAACCCTAAACCCTAAACCCTAAACCCTACCTCATGCACTCTAGACTTTAAACATCCAACAAACCCTTAATGAATCTAACCGAAGACAACACAACAAAACCCCTGAGGCCTTGCAGCTTCATAAACATGACTTTTAATTATAAGGGCTCTGCGCGCTGAGTATCTCTCCTTCGCCATGCATCTACTCAGCCTACCACTGACAGCAGCACCAGCACCAGCAGCAGCATAAGCAGCAGCAGCAGCAGTAGCAGCAGCAGTAGTGGCAGTAGCAGCAGTAGCAGCAGCAGCAGCAAAAGCAGCAGCAGTAGCAGTAGCAGAAGCAGCAGCAGCAGCAGTGTTCAGCAGCAGTAGGCCCTAAAAGCCGTACCACCTACCGTACAAGCCTTAATTCAATGCGTTGCACTCTCAGCTGCTGCATCAACATCAACCCCTACGCTAGCCCCAGCTAGCCCTAGCTAGCTACAGCTAGCTACAGTTAGCTACAGCTACGGGGGTCCCCCGGTGGAGTGTGTGCGCCCTTCAGTATGCATCTGAGATTAAACGAGTATACGAAAAGAAGTAAGAGTGAAGGCAGCAGCAGCTGCTGCTGCTTCAGAAATCAAGGTCTGCTAAAACTGCATATAAACTCGCGGACTGCTTCTGCTCCTCCGTTTTGCTGCTGCTGCCAGCAGCAGCAAACGCAGCCGGCTTTGTTTGAACCCCTGAAAGGGTAGGGGGGCCCTCTTTGGGGCCCTCATGTACAGACGCAGAAGGCTGAGGAGTCAAACTGCTACTGCTGCCACTGCTGCTGCTGCTGCTGTTGCTGCTGCAGGGAGGCGCAGATGCAGCAGCAAATGCAAACCCCGAATCTCGCGAAGGGCCAGCTGACACACTTGAGCTCAGTTGCTGTTGTTGCTGCTGCTGCAGAAGCAGCTGCTGCTGCTGCGGCCCCCGCCCCTGCTGGTTATCTTGTTCATGGATATGCTCCGGCTGCTCTGGGGGCTGCTGCTGCCCCTGCTGCTCCCCTACCTGCTGCAGATCTTGCTGTTGTTGCTGCTGCTGTTGCTGCTGTTGCTGCTGCGGCTGTTGCTGCTGTGGCTGCTGCTGCTGTGGCTGCTGCTGCTGCTGTGGCTGCTGCTGCTGTGGCTGCGGCTGCTGTGGTCGTTGCTGCTGTGGCTGCTGCTGCTGAGGCTGCTGAGGCTGCTGCGGCTCGCAAGGAAGTTGGTCTTGCTTCGCCGTGTCCAGACACTGCTGTTGCTGTTGTTGCTGTTGCTGCTGTTGCTGTTGCTGCTGTTGTTCCTGCTGCTGCTGCTGCTGCCCACCGTTGCACAACGTCTGTCTTCGTTGGTTTTGCTGCATCTTTTGCCTATTAAAAGCGGCTCCCCTTGCAGATGCTTCCGCCTCCTGCAGCAGCAGATGCTGCTGCTGCTGCTGCAGCTGCTGTCGCTGGGGCTCCATGAGCAGCAGCAGCTGCTGCTGTTGCTGCTGCTGCCGGCTTCGCCTCCTCCTCCTTAGAGGCCCAATGACGCTGCGCTGCTGCTGCCCGCACAGTTTGCAGACGGCAACCTAAAAAACAAAACAGCGAATAAATAATAATAAAAATAATAATAAAAATTAATAATAATAATAACTATTATTATTATTACTATTATTATTCATGAACGGGATACTAATAAATAACAATAGTAAAAATAAATAATGATAGTAATAAATAATAAAAAAAAAATAATAATAATCATAGTAATAACAATACACAGCAACGATAACGATAATAATAAATAATAATAAATGATGAATGTAATAAATAATAATAAATTAATAAATAATGAGTGTAATAGATAATAAAATAATAATTACAATAAAATAATTATAATAATAAAATAATAATAATAGTAACAATAAAATAATAATAATAACGGCTAGCAACAAAACAACAACAGCAATAAAATAACAGCAACAACAAACAGCAGTACGAACAGAGACAGAAATATTATCTCCTGCTTTATTTATTAAATTTAGTTTAATTTAATTTATTTAATTTCAGGGTTTAGGGTTTAGGGTTTGTCCTACCACTGAAGAAGAAGCAGCAAAATCTCTCAGGCTATCAGCAGCAAGGCCCCCAGCAGCACCAAATTGCTGCTGCTGCTGCTGCTGCAGCTGCTGTCTGCTTCGCCGTAGCACTGCAACGCACACCAGCAGCAACAGAAGCAGATGCAACAGCAGCAGCAGCAGCAGCAGCAGCAAGCCTTTGCTTGCGGTGTACATACTTCCTACATACTTCCTCGATGCAAGCGAACGCTAAGGTATGCATACACCGGAAAACAGCATCAGCAGCAGGTTCAGCTGCAGCCTTGCTTCTGCTGCTGCCGCTGCTGCATGCATGCATGCATGCATTGTGCTGCTCACTGCGGCGTCCAGAAGCACTAAGAGGCAGCAGCGGCTGCGTAGCAGCAGCACAAATTAAAAACGGCAGCAAAGGGACGCCACAGCCTCGGCACAGCCCCTCATACACCCGAGGCCCTAATTCTGCAGCAGCAGCAGCAGCAGCAAACGCAGCAGCAGCAGCTGCTGTACACAAAAGAGCAGCAGCAGCAGCCGTAAACATAGCAGCAGCAGCAGCAGCAGCAGAAACAGTAGCACGCGCAACCAGCACACAGAGGGAAAACAACAAAAACGCCAGCAAATACAGCAGCAGCAGCAGCAGCAGCAACACAAGCAGCAGCAGCAGCAGCAGCAACACAAGCAGCAGCAGCAAATAGTAATGAAGATAAAACTACAAGACCAGCAGCACCCGCAGACACAACAACGGCGACCCCTCAGAGTAAACAAACAAACACAAATATAAACAAATAAAACAAATAAAAAATAAATAAACAAATAAATAAATAAATAATAAAAAATAATAAAATAAATAAATAAATGAATAAAAATGAATGATTAAATAAATAAATAAATAAATAAAGTAAGGAGGAAATAAAACAACAGACGGACGAAGCAGCAAATAAATAAATAAATAAATAAATAAATAAATAAATAAATAAATAAATAAATAAATAAA